GAAGCCTCTACAGTCAAGAGAAGTTTGCCTTCAGAACCTTCAGCCAGTCACTTTCTTTGAGCCCAGCCTACCTCATAGGGTGGTTGTGGGGAAAACAGGAGGAGGGAGGAGTATTTGGTATGTTCCCTGCTTGAGCTGACATGTCAGACCACCAATCACTAATTGGCAGCTAACAAATGGCGGATGAGATGATGGCTGACCTGTGGGGTGAGCCCTCCATTTCTCCCCCCACCCCACCCCATGACTTGGGATGGAGGATTTAAGCCGTCTGGGGATTTGTGGCAAATCTGCAACTGCCCCTGAATGCAATCTGCGCTTGACAGTTGTGAGTCTTCAGCTTGCAGGGTATTAGGGATCAGGAACCAAACAAAGCCATGCGGTGAAATTCATTAAAATCCTTTTATGAGGCTCCGCATTGGTTTTGCCCTCTCGAGGGTAGCAATACAGTGGGAGGCACTTTCCACCAGGGCTGGATGATCTACATCAAAAAAGCCTCAGTGTAATGTTTAATTAAACTGTCATGGCAGCCGCCCCAGCTCATTGTCCATGCCCCTCCACCACATTTCCCCCATCATCAACTCGGAGGCTTTGGGCGGCAATGCCTGCTGGGGCACTCCTCGGTTTCAAGGAGAGGGACTGGCCCAGGGACTCCCTGGCACATTGGGTGGCAGGGCTGAGACTCCCTCACCCGGGGGCACGTCCAGTTGTTAGAGGCTCTGGAGGGGTGGAATGGCCGACTTGCCTCTCCATGGGAGGGGAGGGCAGAGCAGAGTCCTTGCTGACTGAAACTGAGCAGCTGGGATTTAGTGTAGATTGCAGGATTTTTGTGCTCTTGACTCCAGTCCCTGATTCTTTTCTGACTGGGGGGGGGAGCTTATGCATTGTTGAGTTACTTAGAAATGGGGGTGGGTGGGTGGGTGGCAGGAAAAGTGCCTGCTGAGGCTCTTCACCAAGCATTGGGGCTTCAAATGGCGGCTTGCAAGAAAGGCCCTCCTCCCCAAAGTGCTGATTTTGGAGGGAAAACGTTGCAGCATTTTTCCTGGCTGGTCCTCAAGGCCCTGGTGAGAAGCCTATTGAAAGAGCTGGTCCAGGCACTGGCTGATTCCAGCCTCACCCCGTCAGTTACTCACGAGCAGCCCTGCTTTGGCACCAGGAGATCTGTGGGCGGCGGCGGTGACGGCTTCCTCCTTGCCTCTGCCTCTGCCTTTTGAGAGCCTTCTCTGACTTGGCGCGGTGGCTGCTTTGATGCTTCCATCCGTGCTTCACTCTGTTTGCGTTGAATTTGCTTGGTATTCTTTCCATTGAGTAAAGAGTAACGGGAGCTGCGTCATGAGGAAGCAAAGCCCAGCTTCTGGCTGTGATAAACTGGGAGCAGAAACCTGGTGGGGAGCTTCAGGTCAGTGTCGGCTCCTGGCCAGAGCCTGCACAAGTCCTGGCAATTTTCTTGCAAGCTTTTTCAGAACCCATTAAGTCTTTCCTAGGGCTCTGAGGGAGAGACTGGCCCAAAGTCAGACTGCTGGCTTCCTAGAACTCGGGTTTTCCCAGTTTCTAGCCTGATAAATTTACAAATGATTGACTGAATGCAGCCATTTTTCATTTCCAAGAATGTTGCTTAGTCCTGCTTAGGACCTCATGTGTCCTCTGGGAGAGAAAGAAGGTGAGGCAGCAGCCGGGGTTTAGGTGTGTTTGTGTGAAGAAGGGTCCGTGGGAGCAGAGATATTGGCTCAGCTCCTGGAATTGGGTGGCTGGGGTCACCATCTCGTTGCCAGGCGTCTCCCTCCCCCTCACCATAATCCTGCTATGGTTCTCATGGTGAGTTCCACAATTGACGTAGTGTGGTGTTTGTAGCTCCCCACTAGTGACACCTGCAGTTTAGAGAGCTAATTGATCTGTCTTTGTTTTGGTTTTCAGTTGTCCCCGCAAAGAAGACTCACACTTGGCACCACCCTTTTCCGGCCAGCTACGGCCTCCCGTTGGCAGAGGTTTTGTGGGGTGGGGGGTAGAGGAAGGCAGCGGAGTGGCCACCCTCCTTCGCCAGGCAGGTGCAGGAGGAGCCCCCAGCCTGAGTCACAGCAGAGCGGCACCCCATCAGTGGCCTGGGGAAGAGCTCTGCTCATCAGGGGAGGCCCAAGCAAAATCTAATTCCTGTCATTGGGGTTTAATTTATTTTCTGCCCAGCCTTCTGGATCAGCTGAGTCTTCAGATAAGAGAGGATGGCTCTCCCCAATCGCCTCTCCTCCAGGCCAAACACACTCCAGGCCTCCAGCAACGCCCCCCCCCTCCGGGATGTTCCACTCTTTTTCTCCTGCTATCCTGCTGCAGTTATGTGGGTCATGAAGGAGGGGGGGGGCAGAGGAGCAGCCTCTTCAGGGACCCGAATGAGCTGACCAGGAGGTGGGTCACTGGGCAGGTTGCCCCCCCATCTGTCTTCAGGGCTGCTTTGTGTGAGTAGTCCAGCTTGGCAATGAAAGGGGAAGGCTGAAGGGGGGCTTCCCTCAGCCTTGGGGAAGGGGCCAGCAGAGTGAGGAGGGACGGGCATTGTGGCATGGGCTGTCTTGGGCAGGCTCCCCCAGGCTTAGGAGACAGGATTTCAGTGCTGTTGGCTTTTCAAAGATGCTCCTCTTTTTGTGAAATGTTCAGAGACTTTTGCTCACCCGCTGTAGAGCCTGTCTCTGTCTTTTTTTGGGGGGGGGCTCTCTTCTGGGTGGGGCGGCTTCCAGTGTGCAAAGGCCCCTTGAAGAGCGGCCTTGTCTCCTGCGAGGAAAAGGGAGCCATTCGGAGGAGAAACACCCATGCAGACTTTGCAGAGCAGGACCAGCAGGCAGTGAGGGGGGGGAGGCCTGTCTCTGGGGCTTTTGAGTGAGGGGGGGCAAGTATCAGCTTGGGCTCCACCCTTTACTTTGCCCCCCACCCCCACAGCTGCATCAGCCATTCCTGTATTGTCCCCCCCCCCGATAGAGGCATTTTTCCTTAGCCCAGTGACATCTTGGCTGTGCTTGCAGCAAGAGAAGCAGCGGCCCAGCCCTGCCTCGCAGCCAGAAAGCCCTCAGGGGAGGGTCTTCCTGCATCCGTCGCTGCCTCTCTTGCCCAGAAAAGGCCTGCAGCTTCCCAGGACCCCCAGCTTCGGCAATGGGCCACCTGGCACACAGCCTCTGACCTGAGGGCCAGAGACCATGCTGATGTGCCCGGGGGTAGCCCACCGGGGGTCTCCCCAATTCTGAACCAGAGCTCTGAGGAGACCTTGGCCCATTGGCTTCCCCACTGCTCGCTCTGTGTTTGGAGGGCAGGAGCTCCGGCTGAAGGCTCCCTCGCAGGGTCCAGGGGCAGTAAAGAAAGAAAGCCCCCTCCCCTCCCTCTCTGCAGCTGTAGGGCGGGGGGGGCAGTGAAGGAGGCTCATCTGACTCTATGCAGAACTGCCCCACCCAGCCCCAGCATTGGGATCCTGCTCGTACTGGAGGCTGGCAGGGCCTTGTCCAGGGGCAACAGAGCTTCACCAGCTTCCCCAACCCCGGACATTTGTGCTCGACCAAATTCAATATTTCAGCTACAAAAATACAAAAATCCAGGTCTTGGTTTTTTAATAATCTTGTTTAATAACCCCTTTGCAAGGTTGCCTCTTCTGCCTCCACCAAAAGCTGAGAAGTGACTAGTCCTCAGAACACACAGGGATTTGAGCAGAATGGTGTGTGTGTGTGTGTGTGTGTGTGTGTACACATGCAAAAATGGAGTGGCCAATGGGGAAGTTGGAGCTCACTCTGGTGTGTCTGACAAGACCACAAAGACCTCATTTCTCAGCACACCAGACGGGCAAGAGTGGGGGGGGGCGGGGGTCTCTCTGGCTTCCCTGGACCAATCTTTGGCTCTCCTTTCAGCACCGAGCCTGCTGAAGGCCAGCCGTGAAGCTGGATTGTTTCGCCTTGGGTGGGTCCCCTAGGCCAGGGATAGGCAACCTTTTCACCCATTGTACCACTTTTAGGATATGGCAACATCTGAGTACCACCAATCGCCTAGCAAGGTGTCAAAAACTTGATGACCAAAAAAAAAGGGAAAAAGTGATAAAGTACAGGTAGTCCTCGACTTACAACAGTTTGCTTAGTGACTGTTCGAAGTTACAATGGCACTGAAAAAAGTGCCCCCCCCAAGCCACAGCCGAGCAAGACACCTGCCTGCCCGCCCGGCCGCGCTCTTCCTCCTGTCCGAGGTTTCCATTGTTGTGAGCATTTCTGTTGAGGATTGGCAGCAGAGGTGGGATGGGGGGGTGTTTGGTTTTTATTCCCCCCCCCCGTCTGCTGGGTGGTTGCAGCAGGTTTTCATCACTTCACATGACCCTGGGACACTGTGACCGTCATAAATATGAGCCTGGTGCTGATCCTGGCGCTTCCACTGAGCCGACAGCCCCGAAGAAGCGCTGATCAGCCGGAAAGCGGTGCTGATCCTGGCGCTTCTGCTGAGCCCTGGCAGCCCTGCAGCTCCAGCCATCTCTCGCTCAGGCTTGTGTGGTGCTGCCACCAGTTCAGCTCATTCCCCTCCCCCACTACCACTTTTCTAGGATGGTCACGTATCACCTGCCAGGTGCCAATGTACCACAGGTGGTACCCGTACCACTGGTTGAAAAGCCCTGCCCTAGGCCAGGGGTAGGCAACCTCGGCTCTTTGATGACACAAGGACTTCAACTCCCAGAATTCCTGAGTCACCTATGCTGGCTCAGGAATTCTGGGAGTTGAAGTCCATGAGTCATCAAAGAGCCGAGGTTGCCTACCCCTGCCCTAGGCGGAGGGGGCTGTGTGAACCCAGGATGTCCACCCAGGTTGAGGGTGTTGTGTGGCTGCTGTCTTCCATGTCCGAGAAACTGCCTCCCCTTGGGAAAAGCGCTAGGGATGAGGCCGCAGGGGGACTGAACGGTGTGGAGGGAGTGGCGTTTGTCATTTCAGAAACACCCCCCCCGCCCCCCCGGTGGGTCTCTGTGGGAAAGGCTCTCAAGGGCTCCCCTTTTCTTGCAGTTCCTTTGCCTGAAGAACATCCGGACGTTCCTCAAAGTGTGTCACGACAAGTTCGGCCTCCGGAACAGCGAACTCTTCGACCCCTTCGACCTCTTTGATGTGCGGGACTTCGGAAAAGTAGGTGGGGCTTTGGGGGCGGGCAAGCGTGAAGTGGCTTTTTTGCAGTTTCTAAAGCTCCCCCCCCAGAGGAAAATGCCTCTGAAGAGGGGCTGGAGATGTGAGGAGAAGCACCTTTTGCAACTGCCCAGAAGACCCTTGAGGGGTGGGCAGCCCCTTTAGGCAGCCGTTGGCGACGCTGGGCCCAAGCAGGCCTCAGGAGAGGCGTCTCCACGTTAGGTGCAGTGCTGGGGGGCTCTTGCTCAGAGCAGAAGCCTCCCCCCCACTGCTGCTGATGCTTGGACAGGGGTCTGGTCACAGTGAAGCCTCCGTGTCCTGCCAGAGGCCGCTGGTGATGCTTGGAGAGATCCTGTTAATCCAGGTTGAAGCTGTTATGTTGCCTTCACCTTTCAAGACAAAAATCACAGAAAGTTGCATTGTTGAGTGAACGGAATTCTTTTTGTAATTCATAGAACAACTGCAATTATTCTACACGTTGAGAAGGTTGGGTACATTTAGGGGAAAAACTACCAGTGCTGCCTAAATCCTTGCAAATATCAACCGGCCAGTAGTTTTTTCATTAAGTACCTTCCAAAATCACAACTATATTATGTAGGGAAGAAATCTTTGTTGTGGAGGGGAGGGTTGCAATGAAATGCGGCTGCTTGGAAATATTGCGTGTTCCCTCTCGCCCGTTGAGCTCCCAATTTTAGTGTGCGGCATTTTGGCTCAAGCTCTTTCCCCAACGGGTGACATTAAAGCTGCTGCATTGCAGGCTTTTGCATTTCACCGCCGCGCTGGGCTCCTTGGAGGGTGAGAGAGGAAAAGAAGCTCAGCCTCGGTCTGTGCTTTCTTGTTGGGAAACCCGCATTGGAAGGGGCCTCGCTGAGCCCCCCTTGCCTCTCTTCGCCTGACTCCAGGTCTGAACTTGCCAGGGGCTGTTTCAGGGGAAGCAGATGGGCGACCCGGCAGTTGCAAGCCATGCGTGTAGACACTTGCGTGGACAATTAAGGGGTTCACTGGCTGACTGCAGAGCGATCAGGCTGTGTGGCTGTGGCTTTGCTGCTTCCAGCTCTGTAATAATGCTTTGAATGCTTTCTCTTTGCATTTATCTCTTGATTTCTACCTGCCAATGATGCATAGATTGAGTTCCCTGAACCACAAACCTACTATTTCACATTAGCCGGGCTGAGCATGTTGCACAACACAAAGTCACTCTGTCCCCAAAGCGCTTGGAGTTCCCTGTTTTTTTAAAGAGAATTATATTTATTTTCATTAGTTTCGTGCCTGGACCAGAGAGTGTATATTTTCACGGAAACGTAGGTGTGGATATGGGCAATGGCGCTGTTTTCATAATTCCTCAGAAATCTGAGAGTTCATTAAGCAAGAAAGCACATTTCAGTTTCTAGACCTTTAAGGATGGGTCTTAAGTCATTGTGCAGCTGGCTGCAGTTTTCCAGGGCTGCACCCATTTGGCGTGTCTGCTTGTGCCTGGCATGCCTGCCAGCGGTTCAGCTGAATGGGGTCCCTATTGCTGCCTGCTGTGGAGAGGAGTTCCTGGCCTCCTCTCGGGCATGCACAGGGTGCAAACAATGCTGCACCATTGGCTGGAACTCGGTGTCGAGTACTCCATGGTTGCACATTCAGCAGCTGATCCAGGGTTTGAGGTCAGAGGTTGGGAGTTTGGGCACATGGGAGTCCCACCTGTAGCCAGGAGCAAAAGGGCCCTTGTCTGCCAGCTGGTGGGCATCCAAAAAGGACCAGGTTAGTTCCTGCAGATGAGGAAGGCCCAGATCCCCTTGCAGAGGTGGCACTCTTGAGAAGATGGTCTCCTTAGACTGTGAGGCTTGTGCCCTGTACAGTTGCGCCAGGCTGGGGTGGGCAAGGGCACCTTCCCTGATGCTGAAGGCTCTCACACCCTTTCATTCAACAGCCTCCATTTGGACTTTAATGACTGGGATAGACTTGCTTTGAATTAGAATGGGGGCGAGGCTTCACTCCCACGGCCAGCTGCAGAAGTCCCCTTGCTTTCTCTAGAAGTGGGTGCACGGCTGAGCAAGCAGGGAATCTGAACTGATTCATGCTTCTCGGAGGGGATTTTGTTCATCTGAAAATGGAAACTCTGCTCAGAGACTGTTGCACCTGCTGGTGGCTGGTTTGGCCAAATTTGGCTGCTCAGAATGGAGACAGAAAGACACCCGGCGTCCCCAGCCTCCCTGTGCTCCCTTCCAAGGCTACGAGACAACAACTGAACTGTTGAATCCTCCATGACTGGAACTTTTGCCAGACAGTGTCAGTTGCAGGCAAGGAAGAAGGACAGGAGGAAAGCAAAGACCTTTTCAGCCTTGAGAGGGGGGGGGGAGATCCCCAGGCTGCCACCCCAAAGTCTGGGCCTTCGTGCTCCACTGGAGGGCAAAAGACAGGTGGGTGGGGGGACTGGCTGACCCCCCTCTTTGAGGAGCAGGGCAGCAAGGGCCAGAGCAAAGGCAGAGGCGGGAGTGGCAGCCGTGGCACCCGGAGAAGGCTTTGGGTCTGCATTGCCACCAGCCCTGCGGAGTTGACCGAATGACCCTGTGAAGCTGGGGCAGCTGTGTCCTCCCCTGCAGGTGGGAGGAGGACCACTGGCGGCTGAAGTCCTGAGCCAGGAGCCTGGACTGGGGAGGGTCTCAGCGTCTGCAACAGGCGGACCCTCCCCTTGGTGGCATTTCTTCCTTGTCTGCAGGGAAGCCGCTCATCTAGCAGCTTCTGCGAATCTTCTGCTGACATCTGGCTCCCACGGCCACGGTTGAGTTTCTGGAAGGAAAAAGGAAGAAGGGGAGTGGACTCCTGGGTCAGCCCCAAAGCTGGACCCAAAGGCAGAACTGAGAGCTGGAAGGTTGAGCAGACTCTGGGGCCCCTCTGCAGGAAAAGCCCAGGATCCAGTGACCGGCAGAATTATTGATGTGTTTATTGGTGGGGGGAGGTGCATGGCTCCAGCTGCCATCTTGTATTTATCAGCACAGCCTTGATTTTGCCCCCCGGTAAAGGCTCAGCTTGGCTCAGGGCCTTGGGGGGGCTGTGAAGAGGTGAGGTTATGGGGCTGTTCCCTTCCCCTAGTATCTTGGGGGGTGGGTTGGATGCCCTGGAGGAAGGGTGGGCCTTCCAGAGAGGTCCCTCAAAGCAGAGGTAGAGATTTGGAGGGGGGGGGCTGCACTTCTCTCAGTGCCTTGAGCCCTCTGAGCAGTTGAGAGTCTGCTTCTCTAGTCCCATCAACAGGGTGTTCAGGGGAGGAGGGCAGCTGACCAGAGGCTGTGTCGTCCTTAGTGTTCTTTAATTGCAGTTGGGTTCTCACAACAGCCTTGAGAGGTAGGCCAGGTGGAGGGAGAGCCATGGAGAGGGTCAGTTTCCAGCTGAGTGAATCTCTGAGGCAGGGTAGCCACCAGTTTGTGGCCTACCTTCATACAGGCATTCACTTGGACAGTCGGGAAGAGAGAGAACCAGACTGGCTGTGGATGATTGTCCAGATGATCCTTTCCCTGAGTGGCCCTGGAATTCCTCAGTGCGGCTGGCCCAGGGGCGACTGGCATGGTCAGGCAGACCTTTCGATCGTGGAGACTCCCAGAGTTAAATTGCTATTTCATAGCCCTGAAAGGGAATATTTGGAGACTGGATGTGTGGTTTCCCTTGGGTATTTTTATTCTTTTCTCTTCTCTCACTCTCTCCACTCCCTTTTAAATGCTGTTTCCTCCTGCACTTCCACTTCAGTGGCTGAGGGCTCCATTAATTTTATGGCTTCGCGTATCATCTTTTTCTGCAGGAGGGTCTCTGGGAGGATTAAGCCCACAAGAGTCCAGCAATTTCCTTTTTAATGCTGCTTCTGTGGAAGGTCTGACCCAATGCCCGGAGAAGAGGGTGCAGGGAAACCTCAGGAGTCACAGGTTAAACAATGGAGGCTCGGAGGCTCCTGGTTGGTGAGGGGGCATCCTAGCAGCGGGGGAGAGGCTGGTGAGAGGCCGCTTTGCCCTTTGACTACTTTGCCCTTTGGCTGTTTTTGGAGATCCACAATTCGCTGCTCACATCAGGAGGAGGAGGAGGAGGAGGAGGAGGAGGAGCCGAGGTTGCCTCTGCCCTGGTGGCAGCCGAAACCTCTTCTATTTGGGCTGGTTCTGCAGAGTCCGCGATGGATCCTGTAACGCTGGTCTGGAAGGCTGTGCTGCTCTTGGCAGAACCGGGTTCAAGCACTTCTCAGCTTCCCCCCAAAAAGTCTAGATCCAGTTGTGAGCTAAAGAAGGAAGTTGGCGGTCCATTTCATTTCTTCTTGGGGAATCTTGGGGGGGGAGCATTAGGTGTGTTTCTCGTGCTTCCTGGAGTCTTGGAAATCTCACCAGTCAAGATGCTCCTCTAAAACAGGTGAAGCTTAGAAGGGGGGAGAGAGGGACCCCTGCATTGCTCGGCCTGGCAGGACCGAAGCTGCTGGGAAGATGGGAGAGAGCTAGGAGAGGGCTGGCCATGGGTGGGGGCAGGCAAAGCTCAGTCTAGAGAGAACACCAAGAAAGACTTTGGGGCTTCTCAGAGTCCCTTCAGGAGTCGCATGGGTGCCCCCTCCCACCCCACCCCCCACCCTGCTTCCACTGCTCTGTTCAAGAACGTCTTCCCCAGCATGGCTCCAGAGAAGGCCGTGGGCAAAGATGTCTTGCAGAGGCTTCCTTGGGCTTGTCTGACCGAGCCAGGCCTCCCCCCTGTGCAGTGACGGTTCCTCGTCCCCCACCAATGGATCATCTCTCCGGGCTTTGGGGAGGCATTCAGTAGAATAGAGGGTAGAGCTGAGCCCTCTGCAGTTGCACAGTGTGGGTGTGTGGGTGTGAAGGTCTTGAATGCTCTTCCCTAACATAGCAAGTGGCATGCCCGCCTAGGGAGGAGCTGAACCACTTGAAATGGTGGCTGCCAATTTCACAGATGGTCCAAGATACCTGCCTGATGGCACTGAACATTCCCCCCCCCTCCAGGAACCACCAACATCCCTCGCCCATCAGTACAAGCAG